AATATAAATAATTACATATGAACAATTTTCTTTTCAATTCCAATTTATCTTCAAACTTAAACTTTCTTTTTATAAAAGAAAAAATACAAAAATTATTTTTTATCTTTATTATTATTACACATACAGTTACTATACAATAGCTACTTTTTTTGTAATGGTCAATAGATTATATAAATAAATATCATATCTTATAAATTTCACGATTTATTTTTGTTATATCAAACAGAAATTTTACAAAAGAAAGAAACTAATATGAACTAATATCTCAGCGAGAAAAATGTTAATAGAATCGACATCGAATCAACATCGAATCGAAATGTATATGAATGTATAAAAAATTAATATATTGATAAATGTATATATTTTTGTCAATATTAATCAATACTTTAGTCTATAATAAAAAAAAAATTACGCGAACGTAAATATAATATGTACATATATAATTATATATACATTCTCATCTACATTCTGTCGATGTAGCATGGACTCGCACCACATCTATTTCACGAGACATAATTTTATCGGCAGTGTCGCAAAATAGATGTGACTTGTAGTTCCACGGCTCAATTATAAACGTTGGTGGCGATAGTGTACGGCGATTTTTACGGTGTCACGAAAAAAACCGGCGTGGCCGCTCTAAGGTTCCTCTCTGGTACATATATCAATGGACATATATCAATACATTGAAATTGAGATTTTATTTCTCAGCATTGGTAAACCTGAAGTCAGAGTTTCGGAATATCATCGCATGGATCTCTAATATCAATTCGGAATTTGTCTGTCACTCCAGCCGACCCTTAATAAATTACAACTTCATTGTTGATATGAAACATCACTGCAAGATATTCTGAAGGATTTTGATCGACATAGAGATTAATTATTTCGATAATAAAAAAATCATCTTTTGCATATTAAGTAATCTTGTCGCGGTTATAATACGGCCAATAATTATTTTTCGCACGTTAAAATATATAAATACGAATATTCGAGAAGCAGCCCATCAAGAAAATATTATATTATATTTTGACGTATAACTTTGATATTTCTTATTCCAATGGCACTGACAGGACCTGGCTTACCGAAAGTACCTGCTCCTTTAAAAAGCATACAACAGTATTTAACTGTTGCGGCAAAACATGATCAGCGAGATTGCGTCGTCAGTTATTGGTGTACGTACATAAGAAATATATTGTACATTCTAAATCTTATTTATAGATATCATAAAAGCATTTCAGTAATGGTAGCAGAGAGGAGAAGATAGATCTGTATTGAAAGTTTAATGATTCTCTCTTACATTTTGAAGATAAGAATTAGTAATATTTACATATACGACAGGTCGTCTGTATGCTCTTCAAACTGGATTAAAGTTGTCAACAAAAACATCAGAAGAAACAAATTTTTTAATGAAGTTGATGGATTGGTTGGAAGCAACAAAGAAAGAATTATATGACAATGAAGCTATTACTAATGATGTAGCTGCTCAGGCACACTTGGAAAATTGGGCTTTGAAGCTTTTTTTGTATGCTGATAAGAATGACAGAGCTGCAAACTTCTCTAAGAATGTAGTACAAAGTTTTTACACTGCTCAGATACTATATGATGTATTGACGCTGTTTGGAGAATTGAGCGTAGAAGCAACACAAAATCGAAAATATGCTCAATGGAAGGCAGCTTACATTCACAATTGTCTAATAAAAGGAGAAACTCCAATACCAGGCCCAATGAAAGAGAATGATGATGAAGATAGTCCAATTAAAGCATCAAACGATGGTAAATATTGACCATGTAGTTTTAAAGTATTAAAAATTTATAAAATTTTAATGAATATTTTATGGCTACTAGATGGAGAATTTGAGTCAAATATAAATACTGTATCTGAAAGTCCTAAAGATGATATTTCACAAAGTATTCCACCTATTCCTGCAAATCCACCAACCACAAGAACGCAATCATTTGATTCAGAAGATAATTCGTACAAAACAGAAAGTAAGTCCCATAATATAAATAGGATACTAATACAAGATAAATACAAAATAAATGAGTAAATCAACTAAATAATACAATATAATAATTTGATATGATAAATAATTATTTTGTCTCTGACAATACTATTTTATAGGTGGTATTCAATTATCAGTTGAGCAAATTGGTAAGGCTCAAAAGTTTATTAAATGGGCAAGTAGTGCATTGGATTATGATGATATATCTACTTCTGTAATGAATCTTCGGAAAGCTCTGCATCTTTTAACTACTGGTCAGGAACCTGCATAGAACCTATGAAGACAATGAAAAACATGTTTAATAACAACTTATCTGCAATTAATTGTATTAAACTTGTTGCTTATTTTATAATGGCTAGTAAAAATATTTTAATAATATTTCATAATTTTTATAATCTTTAAATGCAGATAACAAAAGAACAAAAAAAGCACTTACAATCAGCTAGTCGGATCAGTCTTGACTACAGTGCACTTAATGAATATAGAAATTATTATGGATTATTTTCAGATTGCAATTGTTTAAAATGAGAAATATATAATTGTAGTTTTATTATATTTATTAAAACTATTTACTTTAGTACTTTTAATATTCTCTTTATAAAAAGCTTTAATATCAACATTGCTTCTAAATAATTTTTTAATGATATTGATGAGACATATATACAAAAAACCGTTGTTATCTAACTAATAAACAGCAAAAAAATTGAACAATTATATTGTACAACAATTATTGTTAATTATTTCAAAAATTAAGAATCTTTTATTAGATTACTTTTTCTTAAATAAATGGCTTCTGTGATTTTTTAGAAATATTGTTTTCATAAACTTTAAATTATAAAAATTATCGAGATGAAATGAAGAGATATAAAATTAGTTATATTTTATTTATAGGTATGTTTAAATATACAAGATATACATTATATACATCTAATGTCACATATATTTTTTTATAAATTTAATGCTAAATAAAATAAATATGTATGTATAAATATCAATCTTCTTTTGTTAACAAATTTCTCAATGTTCCTTTCAAATTTATATTATTAAATGTAACCCATTTATCAAAAAAGATCAATCTAAAAATATATTTTTTATTTATTTAAATAAAATATGTATTTATTTTCTAAAGTTACATTATTGATTATTTTGTAGTTATTATATGCATTATATGTTATTATATGCAAAAGAAAAATTTATATTTATAAAAATATAACTGAAGAGTTTTTAAACTAAGATATATGTTTTAATTAAGATGTGAATATTATTTAAAATATTTTAAACAATTCATAAAAATTGTTCAGTTACCAAAATCTGGATATTATTGAACATAAAAACGGCTGTCATGGATAAAAATAGTAAAAAAAGTCTATTCACAGTTTAAATTTTGGTTTTATTTATCAAATTATCTAATCACACTCGTTATTCGCACGTAGAGATTTTAAGAAATAAATTAACGCTAGTGCGCACATATGTTTCGATTATTAAGAAACATTTTTCTATATGTCCATACACGCATGTCCTCGCACGATATATATAAGAGCATTCATTCAAGTGGCAGTTAGTACCTCGTGTTTAAGCTAGTATCACCGAGGATTGGTCGCATCAATGTCGATCGTATTGCACGTAGCAGATTAAATTTCCTTTCTCTATTTATATTATTATTTATTATTTATTATATTATTATTTTTTACGCCTATTTATCGCAGTTTCTTTTATATCATACATTTATAATTATATTATAGCTATTCCATAGAGATATCTCCTGATTTGTATCATAACTATCTATATTCTTATTTTAATCACTTATATTACAATTGTGTAATGTTTCATGTTTATACAGCTGTCATATAATAATTATTTTACTATTAACTTTCAAAAGAAATAAAGAGAATCTTCCAAATTAAGTCAATCAAAATCAATCTAAGTCAATCTAATTTTTTTAAAGTTTCACTGACTGTAGTATATAGTTAACTGTTTAATGATCTTATGTCCCCTTTTGTATCGTTTTCTTAATATAAGTAGAGAGAGATAACTTCTTTAATTATGACTAGCGATAATCGACATTAATGCAATGGTATCTTAATGGACCGATATTGCAGGATATTGTTTACCACTCTCATTAACTTACAGGAAACAACATTTGCCGACCATCCAACTGCAATTGCTATCGATATTAAGGACCAGATTACAGAGATTTGTAATTATCACTAAATTATATTACTCGAAGACAATATTACGCATTGCACATTCATCGAGTAATTCCGCGCTGGCAATAAAAAAGCATTATAAGACCAAAAATGTTTTTTGGGTCTTTTTTTGTGTAACTTCCATTAATTATATTATTAATTATCTCGTCTGACTTAACGACACTCGCTTTTTATTCTGCAAACCACATGTAACAGAGTACGATGTAGAGTGCAACAAAAATTCATCTCACTGGACACATTAAAAGTGAATACTGTAAATTATTCTTTCCTCATCTTGTTTCCACTTTCAAAACTACATCTTTTTACAAGCTTAATTCATAGGATTTCCAATTTTTTTCCTTCTTATACATATGTATACTTTTATGCACATCAAATCTTTATTGTGAAGAAAAATCTAGAAAAAAATGTATTGAATGACGCTGCGTCTTGAGATAAAAGTTCCATTTTTTTAAAAAATAGGAGAGAATACGTTTGAAATAAATAAATAATTAATCTTCCTCAGAATCAGTGTCTGAATCACGGAATCAAATAATTTAAAATGAAAACAGACAATGCGTTTTCCAACTGTAATCCCGCTCAGTCTTGCTTTTTCGTTTTGTCGTCAACACCGTTTGCCGTCACTGATTGCGCATCTTCTTGTCTTAGCTGCCAGTCGATTACCAATCGCCCCGTCAACATAAAGAAGAATACCTGAAATCAATTCCCAATTTACAGCACGTGAAATATATATGCAATAACATTGATAACATTGAACTTACCAGTGCCGGGGCGATCCTCTCGAATTTGTCGTTAACCATGTAATGAGAATACACGGCCATCAGCATCAAGAGAAGCAGCACCGTGTTTGATAAGTTTTTAATTTTGTCTGCAAGCAATTTACAGGTGATTATTGCAATGGATCGGCTTTTTTTATCAAATACGGTAATTTTTGTGATATAGCGATTCAAATAAAAAATTTGCGCGGAATCCCTAGTGAAAATAAAAATTGGAGCGTAAATTGAATGTAAGGGAAAAGTGACAAAAGTGACGTAAGCAAGCGTTCTAGGGAACATAGATTGAAACAATGAAATGTAAAAGAAGTATTAAAACGCTTTTTTATGCTTCTTTAAATGTTTACGCTTCTTTTACATTGTTTCAATTTATGCTCCTTAGAACGTTTTGTTACTCTTCTCTTACATTCTACTTTTTATTTTCGCCAGGGATAATAAATATAAGAAATCGGTTCTAAAAGTCGGAATTAGAAATATTCGTTTAAATCCTTAAAATTCTATAAAAATTAATATTCACTATTCAATAACAATTTGTACAATCATGGAAATCCGCAGAGAATAAAACATTTATGACAAAATATGACAAATATATCTATAATGTCGAGAACCGTGGTAAAATTGAAAACAAAACATAAAATTATGCGAAAAATCATGGAATTAACAATTTAGCAGAATAAGCGATTGCGAGAGAGAAATTAAGAATATAGTTGATCTTTTGCACCTACGACTTGGAATAATCGCCATAGCGAGGCCGCAGATAATCTCGAGCGCGCCGACGATTCTTCGATACCACTTGCTGGGCACTTTGAAATCGAGCGTTCCCGAGAGCGGAAATACTTTTGCATATTTGACATATTCCTTCCTCTAAAACAAAAATAAATATATCAAAATTCTATTAATCTTTTCCAGTGAATTTCAAAAACAAAAAATAAGACCTTATGAATTTAATGTATTATACCGAAATAAATTTTGCAGTTATAGCAAAAATCTACGAAAGGTACGAAAAATTAACTAAAATGAATAAATGATTAACTGTCACTGCAATATCGCACATTATCTAATTAATATAGATGATAATGATAAAATTTATATTCGAACAATTTGTCAAATTTAACAAGAAAGTTTATGGCTAATCAAATAATCATTTACACCTCTTATAAAAGTGACTGCGTGATTTGGTTATAAGATTTAAATTTTCTTACATATATTGTTAGATGTTGCTATTATAAATTCTACGTACGACAATTTTCTAGCAGATACAAAAAATATTGATATATTTTAATTATAACATTTAGAATTTAATTGGCCTAGTGAAATTTTTTAATGCATTTCTTATTAAAAAATTTAAATAATTTAAAAAGAATATCAATCGTAATATAATCGTAGCTCAGAAAGAAGTTTCGATCATATTGTAAGAGATTGAATGAATATGATAATAAATCATATTCTTCACTTTAGCTGAGCCTAATAAAATTCTCATTTAAGACTTACTAGAGACTTACTATTAAGCTATTTAATGCTAATAATTTAATAATGAATATATATTGATAAGAATTAAATATTGATAAGAAAAAAATTATTTTAGACTTCAATGAAATATATTTATCCCTTATGGATTTCTAGAATGATTATCACTGAACATTTATCACACGGTATCTAGATATCATAGTGATGAAATAATCGAGAGTCCGTTTTGGCAGCTTCAAACAATTCGGGGACTTGAAGAAAACGTAACTTGTTCTAATATGCGAAGTATATAAATATCATTCGCTAGCAAGTTAGCGAGCTTATTGGCGGTTGACCAAGTAATCTGCACGAGTGTTTACCTTAATATCACTTTCGTTGAGCAATGTCGGAGATACTGAAATAACGAAGTGATACATCGATGAGATCTATATTTTACATTAAGATTTTACATTGAGTTTGTACGTAACGATAACAATGTTCCGTTAATTCAAGCTAGAAATTTAGCATAAATTGTATTTTTTTGTAGCTTGAAGAAAAGAAACTCACAAAAAAAAGAGAATCACTATCTCTACAGAGGAAGATAAAACATGTGATAATAAAATATTTTATATTTATTACAAATAATAATCTATTCATTAAATATTTATTTTATTAAATTTTTACTTTTAATAAAAGTATGCTAATGATCGTTTCTGATTATATCAAATTAATAAAATAATGTAATTTTCAACATATGCAACATACTTCTAATACTTGCAATAAATCTATGTATGTTATCGAGTGCATATTACGCGCGTATTTTTATATCGTCTATAAAAAGTTAGGCGCATGATATGCGTCGTATTTTACAATCGAATAGATTTCAAAAATTATTATTTTTTTTTTTTTACTGGCGATCTTGATCGCATTGTGACTGATGTATTTGCGATGCTACATAATTAGACATTTGGCCGGCCATCTCAAGTCGAAGTTTTACCGTTACTTTTGACCTCTTAATTTTGAAGTTTATAATTTCAAAAAATTATATAATGGATTTAACTTATGGGAATTGAGCTCCTACTTTTTTTTGCATCTAAAATATGTATAGTATGACAATACGAATGATACGAATAATTTCTTATTTTAAAATTCAAAAGAGAAATTTTCAAATATTTTCAAATATTTTCAATAGAATTTTTACGACTTTAAATAAAAGTTATAGATTAAAAAATCGATTTAATTGTTCAAAGTAAATTGAACGTTTCGAAAATAAGAGAAAAATTTCGATTTAGGTTAAGAATTATTTTTTAGACTTTTATAGATTTATAGATTTTTGTAAATGCATTAAGAGTAAATGCATAAGATCGGAAAAAATTCAAGAAGCAAAAATGATAGAACTTAATAATAATTATATAAAGTAGAAGATTCTTATTCGACACGTGAGCAAGCATCGATATATTGACCAGATCAAGTTTGCACATTATTCATTTTTTTTTCTTAAATGTTTAGATGTATCAAAAAACCATTTGTCAAATGTGTAAAAAAATTTCCTTCTTTTAAAAAATTAAGAAAATTGATATTTCCAAATCCACTTTCTTGTTTAACTCGTATTAATCTCTTAATCGCTGCGTTCATTTTTTTTATTTTTGATTGATTTCGATACGATTTTTTTGTTTGTAAAATTACGTCGACTGTTATGAAAAAAATAATTGCCGATGCAATGTCATCGTAAAAAACCAAAATGCTCAATGTGCATCAACCTATAGAACATCACTTAATAATTCATGTCCATTCTATCAATATTAAGATCAATTGTAATCTCGATTTAAATTTTTTATTTTTCTTTAATTCCAAGAATTAAAAAAATAAGAATAAATTTTTAGAATTAAAGAAAAAATAAAAGATAAATTAGAGCAAAATTAAAATTAATTTATATTAATAAAAATTATCAATCAATTACATCAACCATCACCTTTTTTGAGGGATTGAGGAATCACTGCACCGTGTGCATCTAAACATTAACATCCAATGAAGATATTGCTTAATTAAACTCATTTATCATTGACTTTTTTTTCCTCGTTTTTCTGAAGCATTAACAATCCGATAATGAGCACCGTGGAAATATGGTTGATAAAAAAATTTCGACTGGCAAGGGGAACATAAACGCAAATGTTGCTACAAGCGCACGCGACCATATAACAATGAATCAAGGGCAGTGACGGCAGACTCAAGTTTAAGCACGTAAATGTTACATAACAAAGCTGGGACTGTGACAGACCGGACGGATACACATAGCGACCTGCTCTTGCGGCGTATTTACTTTGGTACCGCGCGACGTCCCACGAAATTACATAAATCGCGGAGACGGATGACATACATATGTCAAATGGCGTCTAAGTTTGTCAATTTGCTAGACAAGCTTGAATTGACTTTTTATTTCTTGTCTAAGCAACAATCTCAGCTATATAATGAAAAATCAATGGTATTAATAACTTTCTAGTTATGTGTTAGAATTTAATTTTGCGAATAAATCGGTTAGGCATCATCTAATAGTTATGGGTCGGATTGTATACGATTAAATTGCAAGAAGCGTTTAAACTTATCGATTAATTGTTGATTCCAAATAGAAGTTTTGCAAACTTGAACCGCACACCATCAAGATAAATAGCCAAGAACTTAATTTTAGCAATCAGAAGACAATAATCATTATATTTAACAACAATACAACATTGATTTCAGCGATTATTATACAATTTCTCATTACGTATCAATCATTTTCGACGCTGTTAAATGTAATAATATTATTAACAGTCGAGTCATTACCAATTTCAACAATATTAAGCTGCAGTAGACAAATAACATCAGCTTCACGTCCTGTTACGGGGTCTCCATTGTTAAATTTAATTATAATTTCAATTATGATGATAGATGATCAAATCTAGTAATAACTCAAATCTAGTAATGATCATTTTAACAAAAATTTTCTCATTTGTTAAATCGCTAATAATCGCGCATTTATCAATCGCCATTTATCGATCCTGTATTGCAGGGTATTGTTTCATCGGAGCGTCGTATAAATGAGGCGGAAAGAATCGGTCTTCTCTTTATTCAGTAGATCAGCTTACCAAGTCCTTATGCAGATCCTTGCTGATGTGCGAAGTGAGTTTCATGGTGCCGACGAAGACGAAGAATATGCCGAGGAGCACCGAGAGCGACTTGAGCACTATAGAACCCATCTTGACAGCCTGGTCGCGGATTGTATGTGCGAACGCCGCCGATCGATTCTCGCTGAAGGTAAACGCGGCGCGGACAACCGCAGCTGAGCGCGGTTGTCTCCCTCTCGTCGTCGAGACAGCGGACCGACGGCGAAAGAGCGTCTAGGAGCACATGCTCGCGAGCGTCGTGAATTGGAAGAGCGTTAAAAAGGCCGTGGCGGCGACGGTGACGACGGCGACGACATCCATGGCGCGGATCATCCCGACATTTTCTGTGACTGAACCGAAGCGCAACGCGGCGCACAGACGCTTTTGGTGACGTCAACGACCGACGCGCGCGTATCGGCGTCGTCGTGCCGGCTATTTTCTGATCGATACGCGACGCCACGGCCGCTTCTCTTCTGCACTAATCGATGTGGGGTGCTCTCGCTTAGGCCTGACTTCGATCGAGTTCCAATTAATTTGATTAATTTGATTAGTTCTGTCAACGTAAATAAAATCGTTAATTTTTTTTCACATTTTTTTGGCACATAGAAAAAATTGAATTAGTGACAATGAATTAGAAGAAATTTTGCGTAAAGGATGCTATCGCTCCAGTTAAGGAAGTAGACCAGTTGACTGGTTTAAAAAGCGGACATTCTTTAAGCTTGGATTGTGAAATAAGCATAAATGCAATTTCTAATTTAGCTCTTTTTTAGTACATATATTTAACTTGTTGTAGCTCAAATTTTATTAAAAAATATTAAAATTTAAAGAAATTATAACAATTCGCGTGAAAAGTGATTTTGAATGCGCCGGGAAACGATGTACACGATTCCGCCATTTTGATAAATCTGAAACAAAAAAAATCGATTTGTTTAATAAACTGTAGAGTATTCTTTATCGCGTGACAAAGCCTTTTTTCATTGAAAATTCTTTGAAAATTGAGAAAAATATGAATGTTTAAATTTTTACATAAACTCTATTCTAATTCAGGGTACTCTAATTCAGGGATCGGCAAATAGGCATTGCTCGCGGGCGTCCAAATGCCCGCGGGCAACAGTTGAGCGCGCTGGGGTTAACGTTAGAGACCGCTAGGCGCAATAAATCCACATAGAACAAAACCCTCCAGTAGACGTCCATTAGTCGGTCATGGATATTCGGAACATCCATCAGATGGCCATTAGACTTCCAGTAGACGTCCACAAGAAATCCACAATTCCGCTTCGTAGAAGCTCTATGAGATCTTTATTAGATGTTTTCCATAGAGATCTGTTAGACGTTAGGTGATCGCTAATAGAGGGTCCATGGAGTCTCGGTAGACGACACGAAACAAAAAGCTCTAATAGATGTCCATTAGAAGTCCATCATGGAGGTTTGTAATTTCCATTAGACGTCCATGAACCTTTCAGAAGACCTCTACAGAAAAAGTTAATAAAAAGAATTTTTTATGATGCTGAACAAAAATATTTTTTTGAAGGAACGAAGCATACATACATACGTAACGTACAATGGAACGTACAATGAAATCTTTTTTTATCCTGTAAATGTCTGTATATAATTTTTCCGAAAGTCACCCATCCTTGGAGCATACACGATCGAGCTCGCTTCACCTCTGTGATCGGCTGAAATCAGATACTAGAACAATAGTATAATTAAACTTAGAATTTTGATATAAAAATATGACAGATCATATGATTGATCTTCGATCAGTAAATGTTATCACATTGTCATAAGATTCAAATAGTCTCAATGTCAATGTCCTGATAACGTGTGTAATTTTTGTAGATAATTTAATTATATATATAAAAGTGTGAAGATTATATGTTATATGAATTTTTAATATCATGTTCCATATGAGTAGTATTTACAAATTTACGTATATATATTCTATTTACTCACTTATATATTCATTGATCGTATTAGATACGTGAGATACTTCTCTTATTCCACAATATATGTTTTCTTGTGTTTGGTATAATCATTTATATATAATCAAATACGAATAAATAAGATTTATGCAATAAATTTTTAATTTATTTATAAGTATATATTCAATTTTTATCATAAAGTAATCATCTATTAGGTGTACAAAAAAGTTCTGAGCTTTAGATTTCATACAACCAAAATAACAATTTAAATTTTATATATCTTCCCGCTCTTTTGCGGTTTTAAAGCGTTGATATTTGGCCTTCTAAAATGCCGGTTTGGCGTTTGATGCTGTTACGTCCCGAGATGGTGTAGAACGGTTAATGGAATTTGGGAAAGGACATCTAGTGCATCTATGTTCAATGGCGGCGCTGGATACGATTACGAACTATATTTTCGGATTAGAAGCCGCGACCGAGCGGAAATCGTGGGGAAATAATGTTTTGTTAATATAATAATCGGGATATGATATTGTATTGTAAAGTTATGATTGTTGGTGTAATTAATTGTGAAATTATGATTCAAAGTTATTTAATATGACAAATAAAAAGAAGTGATTTCTTGGATTATTGTAAAATATTAAATGTAACACGAAATAGTTACATTAAAATAATAATAATAATAAAGATAATAATAATAATAATAATAATAATAATAATAATAATGAAAGTATTAATGAAAATTATATCATGAATTATAATGATGAATAAAATAATATCGGAAATACATATACATGAATATTTGATCGATGCAAAAGATAAGGGTGGTATAAACTTAATTATATGTGAAATGGAAATGCAAATATTAAATAGGAATGACAAGAAAATAAT